TTGACCCTCCCAAGTATGATGTTCCTCTCCAAGAACTGGTCCCTCCTTGTAACATGTCCAAAGAATGTCAGAAGGGGTTTCAGAGTCCTTGCCTCCAAGAAGCCACCTGGTTTCACCATCTCCAGGAAAGGACTGTTTGTTCTCCTAACAATCCGTGGTATATTAAATACCACGGCCTAAATCAAGTGCACCTAGTCTTTAAACTGACATTGCTACTCATCAGTACTTTGGAGAGTTCCTTGATGGGAGAGTTTCCCAATGCAGTATGTTTTGATTTCCTGACTACTTCTCACCATAGTATTAATAAATACCAGTATACGTGAGTAATAGCTTATATCTCATTTCCATTTGACCAGAAGGAACTCACAGCTGATGTTCCAGTGAGTTTTCAGATTTCATGAGAGAAGATTACAACTAGTAGTTCTGAAAGACCTGCCTCTAGGTTTGCAGTGCAATTCACTTCCCAGTATGCCACCAGAGCTCTCTCCTACAAGTAAAGACTAGTAATAATTGTTCTAAATCTTTATCAAGGTTTGTCAGAAACATTGTGCATTAGGCAGGAAAAGCATTAGTTAAATTGCTTTATGGTTGATTTTAAATGCTCCTTTGTATTCTTGAAAGGAACAATATTTCAAAGCTTTAGATATTAGTCTAACATATGTTTTCTAATGCAAATGAATGTTAGGAAGATGTGAAGCACCCTTTCTTCAAGACTTATCTGAAAGCTTCATTCTATTTTCTTTCTCAAAATTTATCCTAATGAATGATCTGAAAACAAAACCAACAAACAAAACTCAAACCAAACCAACCCCAAACACATCAAATGTTTCACATAAGGGAGTAAATCCTAGCACTTACCTTCTTCCCTCCAGTCACAAACTGCTTACAACTGTATTTCACAAACTGTGGGTGCATAGCAATGATCTACAGAGGAAAAGGAGACACACACTACTTTAGAAGTCTGTTGAAGAGCAAAATGAAAGCCCTTTGCATATTACAGGCAGCATGATCTAAAAATTACCTTGATTATTTATTATGGCAGGAAGTAACTACTCAAATAGTTGTTATATAACATCGAGTCACCTGCAACTCTTAGCCATACTATACGCAAAGTTATGATCAATGTCCTGTTCTGAACCAATCTCACTGTCTTCGACACACCTACCTTCATGACCCATTACCGTGTCAGTCCATCTTATCCAGGGTCTTCCTCTCCTTTGATGTTCCTACACCCTTCCAAGTATGGTATCATTCTCCAAGGACTGGTCCCTCCTTGCAACATGCTTAACTTACATGAGATGGAGCTTCAAAGTCCTTGCTTCCAAAGAGCGACTTGGCTTCACCATCTCCAGGTGAAAACAAACAGACCTGTTTGTTCTCTTGGAAATTTAAGGTATGTTAAATACTCTTCTCCAGCACCACAACTCAAAGGCATCAATTATTTTTCTGTCATCTTTAGTCATGATCTAGCTCTCTGATAC